AAATGCTTTTTGAATTATTAAAATCGGACGCTCCGTTCTCTTAAAAACTGAGTTACCGTTTTCGGATCTTTTTGCCCCGTATCTTCGGAACGGCCTGACCTGCCTTTGCCAAAAACTAATCAGCACGTCTCCTTATAAATACGGATCGAATGTTTTTTGAATTATTCAAATCGGTTGATCCGTGTTCCCGAAATCGTCGACGAAAATTTGTATCCGCACATACATACACACACATACATACATACACACACACACACACACATACACACACACACACACACACACATACATCCATTTTTTCTAAGGTATGCCAAAATGTTCAGAAACCTCTGAAACGTAAAGATATATAAAAATTTTCATTTTCGATTTTTTTGCGATTACTATAACTTGCCCTACGGGAAGTTAATAAAGGCATAATTTAAGCTCAATAATTGAAAATCAATACTCATAATCGATTTAGTGAAATAATTAAGAAAATAACTTGATTGAATTTATTTTAATATTCAAGAAAACAACTTGAATAACCAGAAAAAAACAGACAAAAATAACTAGAAATCATATTTCTGGTTTTTCAATATTTTACAAAATAATTTTATTACTACTACATAACCTAATAATTTTTTTTCTTACCTATCTCATTTATTCCTCTTTTGAAGATATGATTAAAATTTTAGATAGCATTACAAATATATGTTTTTTCACTTAAAATTTTTAAATAATTTATTTTATTTTATAATTAATTTTTACATAAAATCTACTTAAATTTTTGACATTTCGGGGTTTTTATTAAATATATTTAAGTCATTTTTGTGTTTCTGGTGTTAAAAACAAATGAAGGGTGTTTTGGTGTAGTTGTTATAGTAATGATAATAATATAAATGTTTATGTATATATATATATATAGACACATTATAAATATTTATATTAATTTTTAATCTAAGGGGAACATTTAATTTTTATTTTTATTATTTTTTTTTTTGCAAAATGTATTTACATAAAAAATAAGTGGAATAACAGTTTTGCTCTTTATGAACTTTTGAAATTTTATGCACAAATATATTTCTAAAACAAATTTTGACTGACTGCATCACTATTATTGTAATATAATATTTGTAAAAAATATTTAACACAATTCAGAGATATTTTGAATATTATTTTTACCACTTTGACAACAAAATTTATATAATCTTTATTATTTTCTACTCACATGGAGATGATTTCTGTATACCACAAATATTGAACAAACACTTGATCTTTTTATTAAAAACATATATGAATGAAATCGGTCTAACTAAATTAATAAATAGTTGACCACTGACGTCGACTGTACGAGATTTACTATATATATATATGAACTCTAAATATTTGATAAGAAAAATTTATCATTCGCGAATACTGATAAGGTTCTAGTAGTTAGGATCAATTACGATGAAAAAAAATTAATTGAACTCTGAGTCACGCTCTTGGAAATAATTTGAATTTTTTGCCAAGTTTTGAATGTGAATAATAGTAATAATAGTTTTATTTTTAATTTTTTTTCGTATATGATTAATTTGTTGAAGTGGATCATTCAGTTGTTGGTGTCTCTGTTTATTTTTATCTTTGTGTAAATTCGCACTGATTAATTTTTTTATGTAATTAATTGGGTCATCACAGTGACTGAATAAGTGGTTAAGTTAAATTTTGGCCTAAGTAAATCAGATGTTTAAAAATTTTTTAACTTCTCATAGGGCAAGTCATAAAAGTAAAAGTAGTAAAACAATTTTAAAAACAATGTTAAGTAGAACAATAAGAAAGCAGACTGAATATGATTATTAATTTGGTACCTTTTAGATTTCGAAAAATGGTATTTAAAAAAATTTAAGATTCTGTTTGAAATACACATAAAATTGCATGTATTCCAAATCTCAATCATAACTCATTAAGATTAACACATTAAGTTAATTCCGAAATTTCATACTAAAACTTTTATTATTAAAGTTTATTCATTTTTCTCTTTAAAATAGTGCATTAAAATCAAAAATTTTTAATTGGTCACTTATTGTTTGAACTCTGTAATAAAAATGCAATAATTAATTGAAATCACACTAAAATTGATCTAAAATGAGGTACGACGACCCGGAAATAGTTGGAGCCCGGGTCGTCGCGCCGATGCTATCCCTACGAAATGCAAGCTTCACTACAAAAGAATCTTAAAAAATACAAAAGTCAAGAAATTGTGTATTTATGAATTTAATTGCAGCGGTGAAATTTTAATATTTGTTTTTTTAATTTTTGTTAGTGGTTTATACTTTGGTAATTTGTCATTTATTTATTATTATTTAATTTATGATAATTTGTTTGTTAACGATTTGGAAATCCAATCAGAATTAAATTGAACAAATTTTAACAATATTTATATTTTTTTCGAACTTCCTAACAAAATAGAGATCTGCACATATTCCAAAAAGTATTGAATATTATTTTATTGTACACTAATTTTTATTGTTTAAAACAGTACTAGCTTGTAAATTATTAGTTGCATTTATAACTTGTGCTGATTATAATGATAATTTGCCAGTTTTCATTGTTATTTGCTATTTTAGTTATACTAAAATATTTTAAAAATGAATTTTATTTATGTTGGCACGTTTATTATGGTCCATAAATCTTATTAAAATATTATGTTAATTACATCTAAAATATTTTTGAAACCATATCAGAATTAAGTAGATCAAAATTTAACATTAAATATTTAAAATTTTTTATATTCAAATTAAATTTGATTTACCTACTGTAAACCAAGTTGTTCTGACACCTGGATCCGGTCATTTTAATTTTTAACAAACCAATAAAATTATAAATGAAACTTAAAAAATATATGATTATTCGAAATCATCCCTAGACGTCAATATATATTTGAAAGCACTTTTGTAGTCATTACCTTGCGTTGAGGCGTTTAAAAATTATTTTACGATTATAACATAAATTTTTACAATTTACCTCCTTATTAATACACCAGTAGTACTATCACTAAGTCCACTCATGTGGACTTAAACTAAAATCACTTTGGTACTTTTTCCACTTTCTTCCAAATTGAAATCGATCACTAAACTGAACTTTTACAACGCGGTCAGTAACTGCCGAACGTGTTATTTGAAGAAGACCTTGTTTTTGTCATGTCAGTCTAATAATGGAATACGTGATTAGTAATGAGGTAACTAACTGATTGTTATCAAAAATTTATTTTTGTATAAGGTATTCTAGAGGTTACTTGGAAAAGAAACAGTTCAATAGTAAAGGATTGTTTTGTTAAGTTAGTTGAATCACTGAACATGAATTTGGGTTATTGGGTTAATGATTGTGGTATTTTGTTCCAGTCAGGGGTTCGATATTTCTTTTAAAAATGGATGTTTGAATGTAACTTTTAGGTAACAATTATTTTTGGTTACTATCAATATGCTGAAGTAAAAATTTTGGAAACCTATTCGGTATTTAAATAGGGCCAGAGTCATTTCTTTGGTTTTCTCTGGGAACAACTAAGTTAAGTATTTACTATATATTCATTATCTAAATGAAACTGCTAGTCGATCGCAAAATAAGTGCTAAAACATAGATGAGTATGCAATAATTAACAATCCCACTAAAATTGTCATGGTTTATTGACACCTCTAGAAAATGGGGTACGACGACCCAGAACGTGTTGGAGCCCGGGTCGTCGCGTCTTTGCTATGTGTACGAGATGCAAGCAGTAATATAAATATATATTGTACATTTTTTGGTTATTTTGTCATAAATTGCTTGATCGCCTTGTCTGGGTTTATTGTCACATGTCTGAGCGAACATTGCCGACGACAATTGCGGACTTTCCCTTTTGATTAAATATCATATGTCATATGTTTTAATTTATTAATATAGTGGCAATTGTGATGGCTGATAACTTTGTAAGAAATGATATTGATGATATTATTAATGTACATGAAATCTAATTCACCTGTCAAAATTGGTTTTAGATCAATCGGGAGAGTCCGCGTTTATCGTCGGCATTGTTCGCTCAGACATGTGACGTCACATACACTTCTATTTTTGAGCACTATTTACAACAGAATACATATAAAGACTAGAAGTACATATAGTGTCTATGTCTAAGACTACTTTTTTTTCCAAAAAGTTATTTATTTAGTTCTTCAATTATTATAATAGTGTTTTTTCTGAATACCTTGTCTAATTTGCATATTTCTAAAGTATTAGTCTTTAAACAATTTCTGTTGACATTGCGTTCGGGTTTTTTGTGTCACTACCACGATTATCAGTATCGATAAGATTATATATTATTATAAATTTTAATAATAAACAACCAATATATATATATATATGGCTGTATAATAATTACAAACAGCTGACGACATACGTGTTTGTCTTAAAAAATATGCATGAGAATAATCAATTTTTTATTGAGAATAAAATCAAAATTGTTAGTTTCAACATTTATTGAAAAATTGATGTTTTTACGTTTTGTACACATAAACATTCACATACACATATACTTTGGCCAAAATTGGCATCAAGCAATTCTTAATGTGAAATTAGAAGATTGGATTTTCTGAACAAAATATAAACTTTTCCGCGGGGTTGTTAAAAATGCATCAGGTTCGTTTCAGATGTTTTTATTTTGTTTGAAATGTTTATAAAATCATTTGTTCTTGTTCCTAAATCCAAACAAAGAAGTATGTCATTAACACATATTTATTTATACACAATCAATTTTACATCTAGAATAAATTAAATAAATATTATTACACTATATTTTGGTTTCGATAAATAATTTGTATACTGTTTCATGAAGAGGTGAATGCAATTGAATGAAAGTTTAATTTAATTTAGTGCTGGTTGAGCAACAGCTTCTTAATGGTTTTTGGTTATTCTGAAAATGCACTCTGGGATAATCACCAATGTGATAGCAATTGAAACTGTTAGTTAAGCAGTTTTCTCTAATTGCTGTCTTTTGTCGGATTATGGTATTTTATTGCTTTTTTGTAGTTGGCTCTCATAGTATTGTATCTTTCATAGTTTCCTCTCCGATTGCTTCTTGTTGTTGGTCTGAGATTCCATTGCCTGCTCTGGCTACATGTTCTTGATCTGAGATTCCATTGCCTGCTCTGGCTACTTGTTCTTGGTCTGAGATTCCATTGCCTGCTCTGGCTACTTGTTTTTGGTCTGAGATTCCATTGCCTGCTCTAGGTCCTTCTTGTGGGTCTGAGATTCCATTGCCTGCTCTAGGTCCTTCTTGTGGGTCTGATATTCCATTGCCTGCTCTGGCTACTTTTTCTTGATCTGAGATTCCATTGCCTGCCTTGGCTACTTGTTCTTGATCTGAGATTCCATTGCCTGCTCTAGGTCCTACTTCTGGGTCTGATATTTCATTGCCTGCTCTAGGTCCTTCTTGTGGGTCTGAGATTCCATTGCCTGCTCTAGGTCTTTCTTGTGGGTCTGAGATACCATTGCCTGCTCTAGGTCTTTCTTGTGGGTCTGAGATTCCATTGCCTGCTCTGGCTACTTGTTCTTGATCTGAGATTCCATTGCCTGCTTTGGCTACTTGTTCTTGATCTGAGATTCCATTGCCTGCTCTGGCTACTTGTTCTTGATCTGAGATTCCATTGCCTGCTCTGGCTACTTGTTCTTGATCTGAGATTCCATTTCCTGCTTTGGCTACTTGTTCTTGATCTGAGATTCCATTGCCTGCTCTGGCTACTTGTTCTTGATCTGAGATTCCATTGCCTGCTCTGGCTACTTGTTCTTGATCTGAGATTCCATTGCCTGCTTTAGATACTTGTTCTTGGTCTGATATACCATTGCCTGCTCTAGCTACTTGTTCTTGGTCTGAGATTCCATTGCCTGCTCTAGGTCCTTGTTGTGGGTCTGAGATTCCATTGCCTGCTCTGGCTACTTGTTCTTGGTCTGAGATTCCATTGCTTCGCCTAGGGTTTCTTGATCTTGCTCCATTTATCTCATCATCTATCGAAGCTTTGACAACTGGTAAAAATTTTTTGTGATCATTCACAGTCAGTTCTGCAATTGGATCTCGTAGTATTGTGTCTTTTAAATTTATATCTACTGCTCCATCCATCTCATCGTCTATTGAAGCTTTGATGAATGGCCAAGATTTTACGTTATCATTTACTGTGACTTCAGCAATTGGCTCTTGCAGTTCTTCATTTTTTCTCGATAGTTCATTACTTACTTTTGCAAATCCTTTTCGAAATAATGCTCCTTTTACATATGTATCTGCAGCTTCATCATCGTCATCATTTAGTGAAACTTGGATAAAGGGCGAAGATTTCATGTTATTATTGACTATTGGTTCACTCAATAATGTGTCGCTTGTTTCGTAAACTGCATATCTGGCTATTGGTTTTCGGCCTAAAACTATAAAATTCAGTACCAATTAATAAATATTTACCAAAACTTAATAATTCAAAGTAGAATTTTACCAATTACCTTCAAGTTTTTGTCCAAATGGAAAGGGCGTCGGACTTTCATCAAACACAATCGGTCCTTTAACAAATGAAGGAAAACCTGGTACCGGAGTTCCAGGAGCTGGTGTAGTTGTAGTCGTTGATGGTGTCGTTGGAGTTGTAGTCGGAGTTGTAGGAGAAGTTGGTGTATTTGTTGGAAATGGTGTCCTGGTATCACTCGTCGGAGGATATGTAGGACATTCAGTAGCTGAAGTAGGCCAACGTGTGGTCTCACTTGTTCCTGATGGAGTCGTACCGGATGGTGGCCTTGTTGAAATAGTTGCGCCTGGATTGCACTGTTCCTGAATTGTTTCGGTGCTGTATGTCAAGGCTTGGGTCAGGCGTACTAGTTCGTCTAAGGGGCAAAGCTCGGGACAATCTGATCGTTTTAGTGGATGGAAGTTGCGGTCACCATTTGTGTAGAAGAACTGGAAGTAAATTACATACAATTAAATTAGATTGAAGTAAAACTGTTTTGCTATTGTACGAGATGCCATTTAAGTTAAAAATAAATACAGCATATAACAATTTTGAATAATGTTCATCAGTAATATGGTAACACTCGTGATGCACACATTTATTAGTGTCAACAACCATTATACATATTTATATAATAATAATTTCTAAATTTATTATAGCATTAAAAATATTTATAATATTTAAAGACAATATTGCAATTAAAGTCATACTTTAAATACGACATGATCGGTTTGTCATTGTAATTAGCATTTAGAAATAAACCGTCATTAGAGAAATTTCAATAACACTAGCAATGAATAAACTGCAAAGATGTCTATCATGAAGTAAATCTGTATATAAATGATACACAGCTACACAAATTATTGTTGTGCTTGATCTCTTGTTTAGAGTAATAAATCTGAATATCAATTTATTCTTTACTATTTATAAAAATATGCAAATTTATAATACTTAATAGCCATCATAAACGAAAAACATGTAGACATCCACCAAAAATTCCAAAAGTGTCTGAGATATATTTCTGAAAAAGGTATATATTCGACATGTTAGAATAAAGCTGTACTGCTTTAATCTTTTTTAATATCTATAAAAATGCAGAGAATTATTATGTTAAACAACGCCTAAATAAATATTATTTTCGCAACTTCACTCATCATGTAATTGTGTTTGAAGAACTTCATGTAATTAAAATTAACAAACAATCATTGATTGCTTGTTTTTTTTTTAGTTTTTCGCTGGCGATACAGTTTCATTCTTTGAACAGTTGTTGTATTTATCTTGCATATAAAAATAATTTTCATTTTAATAACCTCAAAAATATCAACCACGAATAATACAAAGTACTTCAATAAACTTACATGTCTTACACGGCACAGATTTTTCATCGGCTTTATTATTTGCACTATAATTATTTATGGGGGAACGGGATAAAATTATTCTTCCGATACAGTCATTTTTTAAAAACTCAAGATTTGTACTAATATTTAACTTTAAAATGTAATGACATAAAACACCGATAAATGAACAATATGCTTCACGCTTTCGGTGACGTACGCACGTATAAAGTTACCCATAATAAGAAGCTTCGCACAAAAACGACCAATCACAATCGAACCCGTATAGAAATCATATCATCGAGAGCGAATTACTCTCATTTGACCTTGCCGTAACAATTTCCGTTGCATTTGTACGGATTTACACCCATGTCGCGTCTAAAGAAGTTTTATATTAGATTTTATGCATCCTAATACTTACTTTGACAAAATGTTCTCCACTTGATACTGATCTGTGCAGTTCTATGGCAAGTGCTGCTGTAAATTCTGGGATGTGTGTGGGTACTCTAAATCCACGTCTGTCTATAAATCCACCAGATCCGGCTAAGGCAGCATATAAAGGAACTAGTGTTGTTTCGTGACCAGAGTATACAAACATTTTGCGTTCCTTGAGATTATCTGCATTTCTTGCTTTGGCTTTGGAGTCGTCTAATATTTTCTTCAAAATTACTCCTAAAAATACGGATAATTAAGACAACATATTTTACCATTGGATATGTTGTCAAGATTTATTTGTACCTGCTCCAAATCGTTTCTGAATGTCATTATGGAACATGGATTGGAAGACAAGATCTGTGTACTCGTTGATATCATTCCAGTTGTCGGATACCCAAGTTGGCTTCTCAATACCAGCAGCTTCCTAATTAGGGTTTATACAAAAACCGACATTTCAGAAAACCGGTTTTGGAATTTTAATTTTACTAAAAAACCGGTTTTAACCGGTTTTCGAATTTTATATAGAAAATAAATTTTTGCTCGAATATTCTGTTATTTATCCGCAAAATTAGTGTAATTTAGAGCAGTATTTGACTGAATTTATTTATTGTTCAATTTTATAGATAGTAAACAAAATTATTTTAATTTTAATTAGTAGAACTAAAAAATTATAGTTTACCTTAATTAAATAACTTTGAAAATAATTATTCGTTATTCATGCATCATTTTCACATATAAACATGAAAACATTTTTATGATAGTAAAAGGAAAGTTTGCGAATAAATAAAAATAATACATTTTTAAATAAAAAAATGCATTAAATTAAAAAAATGTATATGTTGATACATACTTGTTAATATCAAGTTTAGTTTTAAAACCAATTAAGCTAAACTCGGGTATTGTCTGTTCCGAAATATTTTAATTAATTAATTTTAAACATTCTAATTGTTTTTTTGTTTATTAAAATATGATTTCAAAAAACTGAGAACGTCTATCGAATTGCTACTTCTTGTTCTTTGATTACTCACAATATTTTTTGAAATAGAAAATACTGTCATACTTGCGACCAAATTATGCTTAATTGTTTTTAAAGCCTGATATAATAATTCTGAGTTTTTTGTTCTTTAATTTGTGACTTCTAGGGTTTAAAACTATTTTTAAGTTTGAGTAGATGAAGTTACTTCTTCAAGAAGAAGTCACACTGATTTAAATTAATATATACACTGGTATAGAAATCTAAATTAATAAATACAAAACCTTTCTGGGAATCTTTGCAGACTGATAAGATATCAAATGCTATTGAACCGATATGATTTCAAGAATCAAAACGCTTTCATCTATCTTTTATATTTGGCTATATTTGTCATTTTACATTTATACAGTGAAAACCGACATTTTTCACTAAAAACCGGTTTTTGAATCCTATATTTTCCGCCAAAAAAACGGTTTTTGAAAACCGACAAACCCTATTCCTAATAGATATCCATAATTTTGATTATCATTAGTAGTGAAAATTTTATTTCTGTAATTTATTACCTGGGTTTCATACAAAGTTCTCAACGTCCAGACTTCAATTGGAGACTTGATCTCTTTTCCTGTATTTGCTGACAAAACTTGCATCAATCTGTGATATCTTGAAAATTTGTCCTGGAACTCCTGTGAATTTTGTACACGTGATGTCTCGTTGAAGAATGCTGGGCAGTTTGCCCACAAGTTGACCTAAGAAATAGACAATAATAATAAATCTTTGGATCTGTTTATTGTAAGTTTGAGTTAAATTTACCGCCAAATTTAATTTTTCATCTGGAACATATGTGACAGGTCTCCATAGAGATGCCAGTTCTGGTTCTCTGCATCTTCTTCCATTGCAACCCCTCTAAAAGGTAAAGGATTATTTTCAGAAATTCTTATTTTTTTTCCAAATGTTGACATATAAAGATGAATATTGGGGAGAGTGTAATTAGAGACAATAAACGAGTAATTAGACATAAGGTACTTAGGAATTATTTTTTTTTACCTCTCTGCCCCATTGTTGTTCTTGTGCAGGTGGCAAAAGACCTGCCAGGTATGCCAGGGCACTCGCTCTGGTTCTAGGATATTCTGTAGTAAATGTCCTTACAGTTTCATAAGTTGGCATATTGAAAACTCCTTGAAATAAGTCACTGTATTTGCTTCGGACTGCTTCACCGAGTTTGAACATGTGCAGGACACCATCCTAATGGAAATTTGATGAAATATTTTTTTAAGCAAAACTTTGATATTAAGGAATTGCAATCGTTTATGATATTTAATTTTAATTTAGCAACTGATATAATTCCTTGTTTGAAATTTGATTAGTTAGGTGCTTTGATTGCCTTTTGCCTTGATTGTTTCAGTAGCTGTTAATATTTAATGGATGATAAGTTTTCTAAATTTTCTATTTATCATGGACGATAAATTTTTAGTTAATTTTTTTAAATTTATTATATCTGATTTTTTCCAACTTACATTAGTCAAGTGTCCTTTTCCAATAGGGTACCATGTTTTATTAACATTTTCATAATTAGGAAAAGCGTTCATTTCCAAATCATCAGGAGTACGGTCTCCATGTCTGTACATCTAAAGAAAAAAATATATTTTTATATGGTCAATTAATATATTAATTAACTTATTTAGTGAATGACAGTATTTTCTTAATTTATTAAACTTAGACGAGGATTTTTGCAATTTTTTGCTAATTTTAATTCTGAACATATAAACAGTTGCTTTGGGAAGTTGATAAGGATTTATTATTTTAAATACATATATCAATTTTAATTTCATTTTATAATGAGTTCTTTTATTTTGGTTGTTATATATGTATACTTCTCTACACTTAAAAAATTGTTTGTAATTTTTTATTCCATAAGAAAACTTAGATTAAAATATGCATTAATTTTATTTCAATGAAATGAATTTCAAAAATTCTTTTAAACTAATAAAATTTAAATTCGTTTCGAATACACTTCATTTATATTTTTGTCATAGTATATATTTAAAAATAGATTTTTCTCATATATAAATATTTTAAAAATTATTTAAACTTATAAAATTTGAATTCGTTTTGTATATACATAATAAATTTTTGTGTATTATTATATTGTAATTTTTTTGTTGTTTACCAAATGTACTAATTTAATAGTCGTAGAACGCCTAGCACTCCGTCCATGCACTTCTAAACTAAAACTATAAACTACAACTAAAATTATTAGCAATATTCTCATTTTTAATTATCTAAAAATTCACTTATATTTAAATCCATTTATCATCTGAATAATTTCTCATTTCGTGTATTTATACTAACAGTTTTTATCTCCTAGATAATATAATTATGATGTTATCGTCGTTCGAGATTTGTAGATCTGAGTTATCCAAATATAAACTAAGCCTAGTGTAATAATTATGGATAATTATTTTTAAATTTTGTATTTGGTGGAAAAATCTGGGTCGTTATGTGGCTTTATCCTTGAGCTAGATGCTAGTTCTGAAAATTTTTGGTAATCCAGGGATTTGTGGTGAATGAATGAATTGATGAAAATAACACTGTGTACTGGTGGCCTAGTTTTGAATTTAAATAGTATTTTTATTTGAAATTTATAATGATTTCTAGTTGTATAGAGATTTCTAGTTGTATAGAGACTCACCATATATAAGTTATTAAGAATAATAAGTTTTAAACTACATTGCAGTACAATTTCGGTAATAAAATAAAGGCAATTTTATAAATTTTACACACAGCCTGAAAAAAAAAACAAATAAATGACACTCATTTTTATTCACAAGATGGTCTTATAATATAAGAATATACCAATGAATATATGCTATATTTTATATGAATCAAACAATATTTTTATAATACGGTTAATTTTGGCATTTGTTAGAATTCTTTGTAATTGGGCCGGTAGTGACCATATATTGTAACCATTCACAACGTTTGCAGTTATTCAAATGAAGTTGTTGAGGTCTTTCTTCATCAGGATCCCAATATAAAAGCTTTAAATAAAAAAATATATATCAGTTGAATATTCTATACATATGATGTTTTAAGTCTTATGTATTAATTATTCACAATTTAGATACAAAATTTATTTTTAAAATGTTGATGAGTAAATCTTTATATCAATTTATTATATTGTTTTCTATCACCTTAAAGAATTTATGTCTGGTTGATGACTCTGTATGTAATTCTCCTATGATCATTGCTCCATTCTTTGGCCATCCAAATGGTTTATCTTCGTCACAAATTTTAAAATTTTTATCGCCTCCTAATCCTGCTACTATTGCTGCAAAACTCATTTCTTCAGCAGCAAATATCCTCATTTTTGGACCAGCATCATGAGGCCTCGTGCGAAACTTATCGAGTGAATTAACAAATTCTTTCACATATTTACCTAATAATAATTTAAAAATGAAAAACCAAATGATATTTTGCATGGAATTAAAATAAAATATTACCCGAAGAAAGTTGCTTCAGTTCGACTGTTTTGGAGAATGTTCTTATATAGGTGTCCACATATTCTTTCATATCTAACAAATCATCATAAGTTAACCAATTTGGGAGTTCTTTATTATCATTTTTCTAGTTAAAAATTAAAATTGTTGTATTAATTATTAAGACACTTATATGTGTTTAATTTAATTACTTAATTAATATTACTTACTAAAGATAGAAAGTGGTTATACAGTTTCCACATATCTTCATCTTTAACTTGTGGAAAATGTTCTTGTACTTTGCTTTTCAATGCAGAATATGTTGTATTTGCTCCACCGAGGTATGTTTTTACTTTTTCAGAAAATAATTGTTTACAATTGTCGGTATCATAAAAAGCCTTCAACTTTTTTAAAAATACCATGACTATTGATATTCTTATTTTGTTAAATTGAAAAATGTTTTTTACTTACTGCTTTTTCGTAAGATTCGTGTATTTTAGTCTTATTATAATCTTTTGGCTTCCAGTCTTTTTTCAAACTTCCATCACGGCTCTGAAATATTAGTGAAAGACCAAATAAAATTTGGTAAAAATAAACATCATGCACTTTATCTTATTTTATAAGGTGATACCTGACCAAGAAAACCAGCTTGAAGTAAATTAGCACTTAAAAGAGATCTTGGGTTGTCCATTGCCGTAACATTGATATTCTTGCTATCGTGAATCCCTTCAAGAATTTTTGAATAATGTCGTTTCAACCTAGCACCCATTATATACATTTGTTCTTTTCCTTTCTAGTAGAAAAGTGTATAAATATTAAGAAAAATCAAATTTAGCGTGCATTTGATTAATGTTCTATAAATATACTAACACTAGTTAAGTGGCCTTTTACATTGTTATCATTTACTGTTTTTTGCAATTCTTGAATATTTTTATAAAATTCAGGTAATGGCTCATGCTTCCCAGTATTAGCTACCTAAAAATAATCCAAATATAATCCCTATTATTATATAAATTTATTTTATAAAATATTTAACTTTATATTTACCACATAAACTGCAGATAGAAAACCTTCACGCATTTGTGCATTTGTTAAATCAGCTAAGGCAAATATTAAAAATAAAAAACAACTTGCTTTCATTATAAATGAATTTATTTATTCATAGGCAAACTGTAATTAATAAAACTAAATATTATACCAGGCGCTTTTGAAGCTTTAAAAAGTCCAAGTTCAAGATATATATTTAAATATTAATAACTAAATAATATTATGTTTGTTTACCGAAATTTTGAAAACGTTGTGAAATTTATTTGGATTCCGAAATTGTTGTTGTCAAATTTTTTGGTATTCGAAAATAAAACACGAAATTAAAGTTGTTTTGGAAATAAAATTAACATTTAGTTATTTCTTAATATTTACATATAGTAATAAATTATTTGTTTACAAAATTGTAATTATTTGTTATTCAAGGGTACTCCACAATTTTCTAGTTCCCTATTTTTAATGATTATCCCTCCAAGGAGTTGTTGAAATTGATCCAAGGGGCAACCCTCATTACAATATTTGTATTTTAATTCTTGAGGAGCATCTGATCCAAAATTCCAAAACAAAACCTAAAAAATAAAATATAATAAAAAAAAAAATTATGACCTTTTTATGTGGTCTCATTTTTACCTTGACATAATGTTTCGACCCGTCATGGTTTTTATGCAGTTCTAATATTAAGGCATTAAATTGCACCAGGTTTAGGGACTACTGCAAAATCTTCTCCACATTTAGTACTTGCTGTTGTTTTGGCTGATGTTAATGCTGAAATTGAGGCAGCGACTATAATTTCTGAAGCACACAATAATTCTAACCTTGGTTCATTATTGTTCCTTTCAGTAGATTTTTGCTGGAACTTATCCAATACCATATTAGCGTATACACCTATTTTAATAGAAATATACATGAGCAAAAAATAAATTACGTGAATATTTATTTTATTGGTAAAAATGCTTTTTTGATTTTCGAATAAGTTCTACCAAAAATATATGATGAATCAATGATGACTTAACGAAATTCACACCTTATACGAGGTGTGTTCAAAAAGTACCCGGAATTTTTAAATTTCGCGGGTTGGAGTGTCTGATTGTCAAAATTTTTTATTGTGTTGGTATACATGCCCCTAAAGTATGATGAAATTTTCAGCTATATTCACTGTTTACTTTGTCTGTGGTAGTCGCTAAGGTTCGACGTGTTTTCTGAGCTCGGCGATTTTTACAATGGAAGAATTGAAAAGTCAAAGAATTTGTATTAAATTTTGCGTAAAAAATGAAATAAAGTGTAACAAAGTGTGTGAAATGTTACAAAAAGCCTATGGTGAGTCTGCTATGAAAAAAACAAGTTTCCAAGATGGCCGCGAAGGCGTTGAAGATGACGAACGCTCGGTCGACCCAGCACGTCAACAAACGATGAAAATGTGAAAGAAGTGGAAAAAATGGTTATGAATGATCGCCGAATCACAATTAGAGAAGTTGCTGATGAAGTTGGCATATCAATGGCTCATGTCATAACATTTTTTCAAATGTTTTGGGCATGAAACGAGTGGCAGCAAAATTCATTCCAAAACTGCTAAATTTTGACCAAAAAAGCAATCGCATGAACATCGCTCAAGAGCTGTTAAATGACGTCAACAACGATCCAAGTTTGCTTGAAAGGGTCATAACTGGTGATGAAACATGGGTGTACGGTTATGATGTCGAAACCAAAGCCCAATCGTCCCAATGGAAGAGCCCAGGTGAGCCAAGACCGAAAAAAGCACGTCAAGTTCGATCGAATGTCAAGGTTTTGCTTACTGTTTTCTTTGATTATAACGGCATAGTGCATCAAGAGTTCTTACCACAAGGTCGTACGGTTAATAAGGAGTATTACCTTGAAGTGATGCGACGTTTGCGTGAAGCAATCCGAAAAAAAACGCTCCGATTTATGGAAAAACAATTCATGGCTGTTGCACCACGATAACGCACCTGCTCACTCGTCGTTGCTTGTTCGTAATTTTTTGGCCAAAAACAATACCGTAGTCATGCCCCAACCCCATATTCACCAGATATGGCTCCGTGTGACTTTTTCCTATTCCCAAAGTTGAAGAGACCCATGAAAGGACGGCGGTTTTCCTCGATTGAAGAAAATCGCTGAGAGTGTTCAAGGACATATCAAAAAGTGAATATCAAGGGTGCTTCGAAAATGGAAAAAAACGCTGGCATAAGTGTATTATATCTGGGGGGGACTACTTTGAAGGGGACCACATTAATGTAGACGAATAATAAATATTTTTTGAAAAAACGAAAATTCCGGAAACTTTTTGAACAGACCTCGTATTAATAATATAATTAAAATAATTGAACTAGTACAAAATTAGCCTTTAAAGACATTTTTTTCGTTATTCAGTAAATTATTTATACCTCCTGAAATCTGTGTGATGTAACTACCGGAAAATAAAATCTTCATGAATAATCTGTCACTGTCATCCATGTCTAATAACATATCTTCTGTTAGCCATTCTGGCAATTCTTGACCAGAAAAACGCTGTAATTAATTATTCTTATATATATCTTAATATGTGATATTTAATATTTTATACAGTTCTTGTTCTTACCATGCTTTTATAATAATCATTTATTTTCCACATATGTTGTGGTTGAATTCCTCCACGTGACACTTTCAAATTTTCGGCTATTTTATTTCTGGTACCATAATAAGGGCGAAAGGATGAAAAATTATTCCCTATATTTTGCTGCAACGACCAGGGCATTCTGCATTCATTATCATTACTGTAGAAGTAACTTAACTGAAAAATAACATCATTTATTTGTAGAGCATCCTTTATTTTTCATTATTCAAAATTTAATTGTTACTAACAAGAGTGTCATTTATAGTTGTCATTGAACTTGATGATGAATGCTTTCCATCTATGCTTTTCTTGAAATCCTTAAGTTAAATTAGAATAAATTTAGTTGATGGTATTAAAAAATTGTAAACAAAATTAGTAAACTTGCATGTTTAAAAATTCCATCTGCAACCAATTTAGCACTTTCTTCACAAGCTTTGTGTTTTGTGGATTCAATGTGTACTTGATTTTTGTTGGTTTCTTGGTTGTTTGTGCCAAATATTTGTTTTTGATACCATCTTCTCAGTTTGATACCAAAAGTATACATATCTTCTTTTCCTTCCTAAATATATGAGAAATTTTATTTATTGTAGTTAAAATTTAGGTTTACAATTTATGTTACCTGTGCTAAATCGTTAACATTGTACGGCTCCAACTCGAATTTACCTCTTCGTTTAAGAAATTCAAAAAATGTAGTATTATCTATAGGTGGTTGTTTACCATTTCGAAATATCTAGAGAAAATATAAACAATGTTTAAGTAAATCTTGCTTATGACTTCTAAATTTTAATAAATCTTACCACTTTTGCTAACAACAATGTAGTATTTGATGGTACATTGTCTTTTGCTCGCACTAAACCAAAAATAAATATTAAAGTCACAAGAAAATTCATTATTAAAAATAGCCGATTTAGATTCTTTTTTACAATTTTCGTTTTAAATTCCTAATGATATTTTATATTATTATCGTACACTGTTTTTGTAACAAATAACGACTAATATCGACTTGTAGAAAATTTGTTATTAATTATATGTTACGAAATGTTACGTGTATTATATTGAATACAGTTATAGTTTTTACTCTATCTTCACTATTTATAAATACTTTTCCTATTTTCCTGTTTTTTTTCGGTTCTTGAATAATTATTTAAAAATTGTATGTATATGTACAAGAAGGTACTCTACTTGTACTTGCTTGGAAGTGAATGTTAAATAAGTTATGAATGGTTCTTTCTTTGAATTTTTATATTTTAGTTATATAAAATAATTTGCCATTATTCTAAACAAGTAAAGAATATACACAAACTAGTAATCTTTTTGGGACATTTATTTAAAATATATACATTGGTATTGGATAAATATATTTAATGCAAAATTTATATTTCAAAATTATACGAGGTGCAAAAAATAACAAAAAAAAAAACAAAAATTTAATTTGCGAGCAAATTTATTTATTAAAACAAAATGTGAAGAGTAATTCTTATACAATGGAATTTCTCTTGACTAGAGCTTGTATTAGGGATTTTTGTTGTCATAGTTAATCATAAAAAAGTTGGAAAATTATATTAAATCTTGTTATTACAATAACAATATAATAATTTAATCAATAGGTTTTCCGCAACCATCCAAGTATTCATAATCAGATGTAGTAGCATCTTTCAGCATTTTCTCAAAATTTTCCAAAGTGCATCCATTTTTACATGAATTATTTTTTATTTCTTTTGGTTCATCTGCATTAGAGTTCCAATGTAAAACCTACAATAAATCATATTTAAAAAAATTAAGAAGAACTACAATTAAATTATTGACATGGGACATATTTACGTAATAAATAAAATAAGTAAAAAGACAGTCAATAAATGAGGATAATAAATAAAAAAAATAAATGAGGAAATTCACTCTCAACATTTTCTAGTTGGTGGATTATTTTTTTAATACTTACGAGATTATTACATTTAATTAGTTTTTTTTTTAATAGTCGACTTACTTTGACATAATGTTGTTTTTGGCGTTCATGTAGTTCTACAATTATTGCTGTCCCATGTTTTGGTACTATCATGTCGAATTTATTTCCACAAATATTACTTTCTGGGTAAGTTAAAGTAGCAATAACTGCAGCAACTATTAATTCATCAGCACACAATAATTGAAGATGATGTTGACCATTTTGTTTTGAATTTTTCTTTATTTTAAAATATATTTATTACCTGCTGATAGTTTTCTGGCATATGCATATTTGAATAAGAATTGCATTTAATTTATTGCTTTCTTCCATATCTAACATCATAGATTCAGTTAACCAATTTGGTAAATCTTTACCTCCAAAACGCTGTATAGATATAAATTTATGGGTTACTATTTTTAGTTTATAAGGTACAATTGTATAATTTTTTTTTGACTTACCAGGGCTTGATAATATTCATACATTTTC